CCTCTTTGCGTTTATCTCTCTGCTACGTTACCAAGTGCCTATCCCCTCCAGTCTTTGCCACCTATACCAAATAGAAGGCTCAGAGATGGTGGCGCTGAGTCACAAATGCCCCAGTGTTTCTCTAGATTAAAATCTTCAGCTAAAATACTCTCCACCTCCTTTACACCTCATTCTTGGGGTTGCTTGTTTGGGCTTATACTTTTTTAAAAAATTTTTTTATTTTATTTTTTTAATTTTATGTGTATGCGTGTATTGCCTGCATGTCGGTAAGTGCACCTGTATCAAGCAATGCCCGCAGAGGACAGAAGAGGCTGTTGGATCCCCTGGAACTGGAGTTACAGACAGCTGTTAACTGCCATGTAGGTACTGGGATTCAAACCTGAATCTTCTGCAAGAACAACCAGTGTTCTTAACCACTGAGCCATCTCTCCAGCCCCAGGTTTATACTTTCAAACATTAGCTTGATTCAGTCCTGAGCCATCATCCAACATCTAGTCTATAATTCCTACTGGCAGAGGATCTGTCTCCCCAAGTGAGGGGCATGAAGCCTGGATCCACATAGTCCCACCCTGCCCTTTATCTCCCCAACTCAATTGGCACCATAGGCTCCAAGACCCTGTGATTTACAGTGTCCTTTCCACAAACGCTTCAAAGCTCTCAACCATGAGTAATAGCACATTTTCATGTCCAGCACAGGACACAAATGTGAAGGAGCCCCACCCCTGATGCTCTCCATCAGGCTCAGGATTAGTGAACCCTCCTTAGGGTCCCACACCAACTTTTTTTCTTCAACACTTAGGTCATACTCTTTCTGAGTCTTTCAAACTGTACCACCTTCAACACCTTTTTCAGAAAATTTTCAAACCCTTAAAATAATCATCCACTGCCCAAACAGGAAATCACTTTTCTGCCTTTCCTACTCTCCTTCTGAGGAGATTCCTTGCCTTTATTCATACATGTGGGAATCTGTGCACAGCCCTAGGCCCTCCCTCCATCAAGGTCAAAATAACTCACAGAAGCCATACAAGTAGGTGATGCATAAAAGCGGAGGGCAAATGAAGAATGAGAGTAATTATTTTGTTCAACACAGACACTTCAATGTCATAAGAATGCCAAATAACAGCTAGAAAGAAGCTCAGACCTCAAGCCATACATCTGGAAACACCACCTTGCTTTTGGATTTACAATTATCCAGATATTAAACTCCATAAGTAAAATCCAGTCCAATGCTTTGCAAATCATAAAAAATTGTATCCCATTCACTGACAGAGCACTCATTATATAAATGTATGCGCCGAACAAATATTTAATCAATCTATTATTTGAAGGTAAGATGCCAGTTGCTGGGCATAGAGAGGACAGATTCCCTGCCCTCCAGGAACGTTGAATCAAACAGCAGCTATAGCAGATATGGGAACCCCATAAGCACAAAGGGCTGTGTAACTTTTTGTTGCTATGACAAACACTGGAGCAAACAACTTCAGAGAGGATTCATTTTAGTTCACAGTTTCAAAGTCTTTAGTCCATCCAAGGTCAGCTGGCTCCACTGCCTTTAAAAGGCCCTGGCAAGGCAGAATCATCATGTGAGAGGAAAGCTGCTCCCCCATGGCAATCAGTACACAGAATGACAGAGGGAAAGAGGCCTTCAAAAGCAAACCTTTGGTGAATTCATTCCTCCAATCAGGCCCCACCTACCTCCCAATAGTCCATTCAATTATGAACAACCACCAATGGATTGATCCATTGATCAAGTCAGGGCCCTTTATGATCCAATCACTTCCCTCCAGAGTTTCACCTCTGAACACTGTACTGGGGACCAGGCCTTCAACCCATGAGCCACGAAGGATCTAATATAACTAGGATCTAGTCATGATGGATGTTCTCAGTAAGGGGCATATACAAAATGCCAGATGTGGGATTGGAGAGATGGCTCGGCAGCAGTTAAGAACACTTGCTCTTCCAGAGGACCTAGGTTTGATTCCCAGCACCCACATGGTAGCTAACAACCATCTATAACTCCAGTTCCAGGGGATCTGTCACCCTCTTCTGGCCTCTGAGGGCTTTTCGAGACAGGAGTGCACTTACGTGCAGGGGAAACATTGATACACATAAAATAAAAATGATTTTTTTTTAATGCCAGATGTGAGCTGAGGAAGGAGGGCAAGGTACTGTGCCTAGGATTCGGACTGCCTGGCACTGACAAACATCACAGTGCTTCTGGAAGGATAATCTAAGGACAGGGACATACACAACTCTGGAAGAGGCAAGCTCTCGAATCAATGTTCCATAGGGATGACTAACCAGGAAGTCAGAAGGGGAAAGCCCCCACAGAAGACTTGGGTGTTTGGGAGAGGGGTCCTGAACAAGCCACAGAATTGGCACATAGGGTGGGACGTGTCCTTCCATGGCAAGGTCCTGAAGAGAGCTGAGTTTCTACTCTAGGCTAGATTACAGAAGGGTCACAGAACAAGACAGCAAGGACTGAAGGAAGGTGGTTGGAGAACTGATTAGCTTCAGAAACAGGTAAGGAATATATAACAACCCAGATTCACAAACACACCTTTTGAGAAATCCAGCACATGAGTACAAGGTATGGTGGAAGAGTTCTAAACTCACAGCCAAGAGACCTGCTGATGGCTGGCTGTGAGATGACCTTTCTGTCAAATGAGGGTGCAGTACCAACCTGGAACTAGGAAATACACACAGCATTCCACAACCAGCATTCTTTTTTCTTTTTTAAGTCTAATGAAACAGAACACATTCGGCTATGTGAAGTGCCCACCGAAAATAGTATTTTTGTGAAGCATTTGGTTCATATATGCACCCACAGGTGTGTAGGGGTGTGTGTGTGTGTGTGTGTGTGTGTGTGTGGAAAGTGAATACCTTACCATAGCGTCAGTTTAAAAGGTTGGGAAACTACAGAACAAGAGGATTTGTGAGGTGCCTTCAAATTCTAAAATTCTGCCAGGTGTGGTGATTCACACCTGTAATCTCAGCACTTGGGAAGAGGAGGCAGGAAGTCAAGGTCATTCTCAGCCACATAGTGAGCTTGAGATCAGATTAGGATATATAAGACCCTGTCTCAAAAAACTAAGAGTCTTACTCATTTTAAATATAAGTTCTAGTGTAGTTTTAAATCACAAGCAAAATTTAGAGGTATCACCAGGCAATTCAAATTTTAACATTACCCCAAAATAATGATTCTTACATAAAAACAGACAGTAGGAAGTAACTGCACCTCACCTATGTGGTAAAATAGACACAACCACACTCGGGGTGAAGGGTCAACCCTATAAAAAGCTTTCATTTTAATAGACGGACCCACACAGGAGCAATGTTCTGTAGGAATTTTTATAAGAAAGCCTACTGAAGGCAGGACTTTTATGTTTTACTTTCTTTTTTTTTTAATCTGGTACTAATTAAAAGGTATCATTTTTAATATCAACACTAATGGCAAGTTTCTAGAAGTCCAAGAGATTGTGTGACACATACTTTTTCTTATAATTGTTACGTGTATCTGTGTGCATTACTATATGCATGGGCAAACATGCCACAGCACTCATGTCAAAGTCAGGGACAATCTTGTGGAGTCAGTTCTCTCCTGCCACATTTACTTGAGCTATAGGGATGGAACTTGAGTCATTAATATTGTTCCCCAGGACCAGCTACTCACTGAGCCATCTCCATGGCCCACATTTCAGTCATCTCCTTCCCCATTTTTCAGAAAAGGTCTTACCTGGAGCTCCCTATGTAACTCAGACTAGCCTCAAACTTGTGGCACTCCTCCGCCTCCAGAGTGCTGGGATTACAAGCATTCCTCTATTGTCACACCCAGCTTCACTGTGAGGCCTACTTTTGAAACCCTTTCTTGAAACAGGTGGCATATAACTACTTGTGGATTCTCACCCAGTCCATCAGCCCAAGACCCAGTCTACCTGCCTACATCACTTTCCAGAAGCTATACTCCAAATGAGGACATCCCCTCCTGAGCCCTCAGGACACCCCAAACAACGAAGAGAGTACATACTAAGTACTTCCCTGTTGCACAAGCCATTTTTCCGGAAGCACAATGAGTAATTTATGAACATATGTACCACACATACGGAAACAGTCATTACTATTGGCCATGTGCATGAGTCCAGGAAAAAGACTTTACACGAAAACTATACAAAGGTCTCTAGCAATAAGAGTACTTACTGTCTTACTCTAAAGAAACCCAAGCCAATACAGACAGAACCTCAAGTATGTTGCCATCTCTGCTACAGGGTAGGTAAGAAAGGTCACAGGCACCAAAGCTGGGCAAGTCACTTACTTGACTTGCCCACCAACCAGACGTTTGTCTAAGTTCAGAATAAAACTCGAGTCGTTTCCTTGTTTCACCTGGTCTATCCTCGGACCATGATCAATGTGTGCCTGGCACGTAGAAGACCCTCAACAAACACTTCACAGTTCTATGAATGCTAATTCAAGGTCAAGAGATTCCCTAACACCAGTAAGAATCGAACATGCTGTGCGGCTCCGGGAAGGTGGCACCATCAGCTAACTTCCTGATTGTCTGGTGTCGGCTAGTCTGCCCCACCAGGAGGCAAAGTTCTCACCACACCCGACCCTCCTCGGCCTCGCGGCCGCTCAGACACCGCCCCAGGGACACTTTCCAGGTGGAAAGTCTGTTAGAGGTCACCGTCTCGCCCCAGCTTTCAGAGGGGAAGGAAAACCTTAACACACCAAGGTCACTTCTGCCTGAAGACTTCTAGGGTCTTGGGACTAGTTCATCACACAACTCAACCCGAACCAAGTTGGTTTTGCCCGGTACTGTCAGCACCCCCATGGCAGCCACGTGCGTTTAACCAGAGCCACAAAGGCTTCAGACCGCGCCGGCCAGTGAGAGCAGGCAGGACCCTCGGAGTCGGAGTTCCCCAGCCCCTGAGGGCTGGCGATCCCGAGCCAGTGCACTGGCCCGGGTCGAGACGCCCGCACCCTACCCGCGGCCCCGGGCTCACCGGGTGCGCAGCGCCTGCCACGCGGCGTCGATGTCAGCGTAGAGGTTCTTCTCGGAGGGCTTGCCCGAGCTCACGCCGTACCCCGAGTAGTCGTAGGAGAAGATGTTGCAGTTGATGCGCGAGCCCAGGCCGATGTAGAAGCTGCACATCTGGCCCAGGTCCACCGCGTTGCCGTGCGAGAAGAGCAGCGTGTAGCGGCTGGAGGGCGCGCAGCGCACGAACATGCAGCCCAGCCGGTTGTCGCGGGCGGTGCGTGAGAAGAAGACCTCCACGGCGTCCAGCTCGCGCTGCGAGTACTGCCAGTCGGCGCGCTCGCTCAGGTGCAGGCTGCACGCGCCCGGGCCCGCGCCTTCCTCCGGCGGGGTCGGCTGTGCGGCCGGGGCCGGGGCCGGGGCCG